AATTGTTGGTTTAATAAGAAGAGGCTCTGGCTCAGACCAAATAACAACCCAGTCCTACCAGAAATCTAAAATTCCCACTCTTAGCCACTGTACATGCATTCAACCATTGGTCAACTGACAAAACGGTAGCTTTCATGCACCAATATTGGTGGGAAAATATTAAGGCTGCAAAAAGTGCCTATCTCAGGTGTCCCACCTGTCCAAAGTATAACTCAGGGAAGCCTATTCACACTGCCCCTGGACATTTTAAATTGCCAGACACCATCTGAAGTCTGGCAGCTAGACCTTATACAGCTCCCCTATCTCATGGATACAAGTAAGTTTTAGTCATGATGTGTATGTTTTCTCACTGGACTGAAGCTGTCCCTTGCAGACAGGCTAATGCACCAGCAGTGGCTCAAGTGCTGTTAGAGAAGATTATTCCTGCTTGGGGAACTCCTCTTGAACTCCACAGCGATTGAGGAACCCATTTCACTGGTCAGGTGCTAAAGTAAGTCTGTGCTGTTAGTCCAATCCTACAACATTTTCACTGTGCCTACCACCCTCAGTCTTCAGGATTGGTTGAACGCACTAATGGTATTATTAAGACCCAACTGCCAAAATTTACAGAAACTCTTCAAATAACTTGGCCAAAGGCATTGCCATTAGTCCTTTTGAATCTCAGATCTACTCCTTTTGGGATTAATAAGCTCTCACCCTTTGAGATAATTACAGGACGCCCTGTGCATTTGGCCCCAGCTCTCTCGATCCACAGTTGGTGAAAAGAGACATACTTCAGTATTGTAAAGGCTTAATTTATTCTATCAACAATAACCATACTTTAGTCAAACAATCATTTCACCATATACTCCAGGGAAATGAAAAACTAAAAATTCATACATTAAAACCAGGAGATTCTGTTTATTGGAAAAGACACCTAAAAAGGGATTCCCTCCAGCTACGCTGGAAGGGCCGTTACCAAGTACTGTTGACAAATCCCTGTGCTGCTAAACTACAGAGAGTAGACTCTTGGATACACGTGTCACTCTTAAAGAAGGCGCCTAACCCTGACTGGAAAAGCACACAGTCTGGTGACCTGAAACTAAAGCTGTCAAAATTTTAAGGCAAATGATCCCTATGGAGCCTGAGTTCCTCATTTATCACCTGCCACACAAGTTAGTTTGCTATATTCTAATTCTAACTTTTACTTTATCTGTTTAAGCTCTGCTTCTGATGCCGGCTGACAGTGGATGCCAGCTGTTTCCCAATCCCTGCACCCTTTCCCATGACGTGAGAGATGACACTTAGAAGAGGCCCTTCTGACACCGAGGGACTAGAGGCTGAACAGACATCAAGGGACAAAAAGACTGGACTCCCAAGAACCTGAGACTAAAGACCTGACTGTTGATTAATGATCTTTTAGAAGAAAGATCTTGATCAAGGGGGGGAACTGATAAAGTGAACTGGCATCTTAAGATGCTTAACCATAGAGCTGGGAGGACTATGGGTGGGGCTGGGCCCCTGTTAAGGCTATAATCCTGATTTCCAGTTCATCCTTATGGTAATTCTGGGGGTGGGATCAGAATAAAGGGATTAGCCATCTTGAAACCGGGGTCTTTTTTTCTGCCTCCACATGGGCTGCCGGTAGGAGCTCCGTGTAGATGTGCTTCCTGCACTGCGGTGGGGGTCTTGCTTCTTTTTCTTTTCCTGAATAAACTGTTTTTTTGTGGACTACTTGGAGAGTTATTTTTCACCAGTTCAACAATACTGAAGCTTCCACCCTTTCAATTTGTGCCAATTCTTTGAATTTTTATTTTTAAATATTTCATCCTACAGGTTTTATTTACACAGGATTTAATCATTTTAATTTTTTGTTATCTTTGAAGTAATATATAAAATGATTCTCCAAATTTAGAACACACAACAGGTGCAACTCTATCTTTTGATTGGAATATATTTGACTTGCTATGAAGGGCAACCTAATGATCTTTTTAACAGCTTGATTTATGAGGACATGATAGTAACACGATAATTCATACAAGTAAGCACAAATTATATGGTCACAGTAATAGGGAATAGAATGATGAGAGGATTGTAAAATGCTTAGTCTCCTGAAAAACTCACCAATCTGAAGCTTTTATCACGTCCCAATTGTATTGTAATTAATACTGTTTGAGAATTATCAACTTAAGTACATTCCAGCAATCAAATTTGAAATACAATACTTTGCAGAGGGAACTGTACAATTTTATCCTGAAAAAAATATTGATGCCCCCCCAAAGATAAAATAACCTTGAAGGTTAAAATAAATGTTTCAGAACATGATTGCACATTTTCTAATGAAATGACAAAGTTGTTTCCATTCTAGACAGCATTTTTGACAAAGTTCCATATCTGAGGTTAATGACAATGTCTTAAGGGCACAAGGCTTGAAAGAGAGTAGAATTGGTTCAGGAAACTGAAGAAAAAAAAGTAAAAATGTATATGGATAAGATAACACAGAGCACGGCAGTAAATAAGAATAAAAACAAAACCAGGTAATCAGGTTATGAGTTACTTTAAAACTCAAGAAGCATATCACCATCAAAATGAGTTATAAAAATGTGTAAATGCATGTCACTAATTTTTTCCAGGTTATGTCCAAATAACCATTCAATAATAATGATAAAAATGAAGTGTCAGCTTCTCCAGACTGAACAGCAATAAGTCAGTTTGCTCTTACATGAAAGCATTAGTATTTACTGGTTCCCTATGTAGTCACTGTTGGAATTTAGCACAGATTTATGAAGGATGACAGTGATTTGTATGCCCCGAATAAACAAATGAGCAACACTAGTGGGAGGGAGGACCTCTCACTTCTCATTTCTGTTATTAATGAATAATTCTCCATGCCCCATGTGGAAAAGGAAGTTTTGTGTTTAGCTTTTTAGCCAGTTGACATCATCATAATGTCCTTATAATTAATCATAATCAAAATCACAATGAAGCATGGACTGTGCTCAAAAGAGAGAAAAATTCTTGTAAATTAGAAATTAGTAGAACACTTTGTCAATGTTACTTCCAGAGTTTTCTGGTATACTGCTACTTATCAAGCAATCATTTAAGGTCTATCTATACTGTATTCCCCAAGTAGAGTTAGGCTCTTCTAGGAACCAAGATACAGTTGAGTTAACAATACAGTTTAAGAATGAAAAAGTATGCTCACATATCATTTAATATTTTGAAAATATCGTATAAAAAAGATGATCTAACAAAGTCTTGGTATAGAGAAAATAAGAGACAATGCAGTAGGTGGGAATTATTCTTAAAAGTGAAGCATGTTGATTTGGGTGTTGAGCTAATAGGTATAAATATATAAAAGAAGATAGGAATGGTACAGTTATGACAGCCTGAAAGTAAGCAAATTCTCCAATTTTCTAGAGTGGTGGTGTGGAAGTGATTACATGAAAGGTGTGGAAGGAAGGAAGGAAAGGAGGGAAGAGAAAATAAATGGATTTCAGTAGAATTACTGGGTAATGACATTATTTGAAGATTATTTGTCACTTGTGGGAAGAACGGAAAGAATTGGACACTAAAGAAAAATGGTGGACTTATTGAAGAGATATCCAAATATGCAAAATAATCTATCCTAGAGACAGTAATGGTTACACCCAGTCCGTTATCTCACCTTTATGCATTCAATAGCCTAATTTCCAGCTCACTTTTTTTATCCTGACTCCAATAACCCAGCTCCACAGGGATGTACATTGCATTTTGGATGATCAACTTTTCACTGTTATTTGCCCCTTTGACAAACTTGCTCTTGGGCTTGCACAGTGTACATTCCATAATCAATCACTTTCTTTCAGAACCCCTTTTTCCCTTATCTTTCGACCCTCTCTATCCACTGTCCCCCTCTCACTGTGTGTAATTCTGAAACAAAATATTGATTTAATCTAAAGTTTCCTCTACTCTGAACCTGTATCAATGAAGCAAAATGTGGCTAGAGAACACACTACTTCAACAAGTGGTATCACTTAAAGATAAAAATAACAAACATCCAGTGAGTCCAAAACACTATCAAGCAATCATGTGTACTTTGGTAATCCCTGTATCTTTAACATCCCTTTCACAGTTTCTTTCTCCTTAACCCCCAATTATTCCTCCCAGTCCTCATTCTTTCCAATAAGCAATCTTGTTTTTGAATTTTCTAGGAAAATTGATATAATCAGAAAGGATTTTCCAAAATCTGACAATCTATTCATACAAGAGTATTTTGCCTTCCTGACTCATATTTAAACTCACGCGTGCTAGATCTCACACGCTTCCTTTTTATCAGGGGTAGCATTCTAGTAAGAGTCTATTGGTCTTTTGCCTGTGTTTTCTTTCCTTCCTTCCTTCCTTCCTATCACACTCTACAGTATAATTCTATTCGGCATTAAAAAATGTTCATTCTCCTGTCTTAATTAAACCTTCCTTTTCCCACAATGTCTCAAGTAGCTATACTTTCCATTGCAGCAACATTTCTCAAAAAGTGCACATATATATATTTTTTTCTCTCCTATTCCTATTACTGCAACCCAGTTTCAACAAAAATCACATAATATATTACCATTAAGATTCCATTAAAAACATGTCAAGCTTTGTTTAAAGATATATACAAACAAATCGCCCTGTTCAGGATGAAACTTACCTGTGTTGTGAAAGAGGAAAAGTGTATCTGAGGACAAGGGGACTTCAACTGTACTGGTCGTATTTGTTTCGTATGCAAATGTTAATTATGTACATCTTGTATTATTTTAGTATAAAGGTAAGTCTGGATGACACTGAAGTAAATGCGGAAACCATCACAGAAGAGGAATTTAAGGAGAAATGTATTTTCCTTCCATGCTCCAAACTAGCCGTCTTATTTCCTCGTTCAACCTCAAGCACAACCACCACCCCCGTTTTTAACAAATAAATAACTAAAGCATCTGCTTCTCAATTGTAATTGCCTAAGAGAGATGAGGACGGTCATCCAACGGTGACATGGATGGACTTACCCGCGAAGCCTGCGAGCTGTTCCGTGAAGCTGCTGGTGGTGTCCTCCAGGGCGGAGAGGTTTCACCTGCAGGGTTAAAAAGTGCTGACTGGCTAAAGAAGTCTGATCCTGAGCGCATGATCTCTAAGCGAATGCAAAAGTTCCCGTTATGTTTCCTACAACTGGCAAGAGTCTGAACTTCAACAGATTCAATCAGCTTTAATCACAGTCATTTTGGTAGTAACGGAATGGGTAGGGAACAGTGTCTGAATTATTTACTGAAATTAAACTTTCCCTCAGCCTATTTGAGAGGGCCTCAGGATTTAAATTTATTTCAATACTAATACGTGTTGTTGTTTTTTCCCCTCCATATCCAAATTTATGGACTAAAATTCAAAAACTAGCAACATTTTCATTTAACCAAAATAACGAAAAACGTAACTTGTGATTTCTGAGGTATTCACATTTATTTTCCATGCCTTCCTACTACATTGACTGCTAAAAACGTCATTTTATAGTAAGTGTGCATATTATTTTAGGTTTCTGTATGTCAGCTGAAGAGTATTTTGATGAGTGTTTTCATATTACAGATCGAAGACTATTTAGAAGGCAAAGGCATTTTTGAAATATGTGTAATATGTCTACACCAAAGGAGCAGCTGGCATATATAGGCAAAACTCATTTTATTCTTTTACAAAGCCTTAATTTATCAAATTAGTTTGGGCTGAATTTCTCTTTCCTCCCCTCTTTATCTTTCTTTTTGCTTTATATTTCAAGGACATCATCATGTTTTGAAAAATTCAAAATGCACAAATGAGTTATTATTCTAAATAACCTCTTTGCTTTAAAATATCATTTCCTAGAACACCAAAATAAAAATGTGCCTTTTGTAGAATCTGTCTGATTATATTTTAAAAAAAAAGACAAAAATTAATTCTTCATCTTCTAGGCTATAAAAATATGATCCAACCATTAGAAAATATTTTATTAACCCCCATTAATTTAGTAGTTCTGTTTTTAATAATGAGTAACAATGCAATCCTGAGGAACTTTGTGTTAAAAGAGCTGCATGAGAGAGTATATATATGCATGTGTAATTACACATACAAATTAGAGTTCTGAATAATAGTATCATTACTCTGAGAAACTACTGCGAAAATAAATGGAGCCCGTTTTCTCCTTATCAACTGCTGAGTGTCCTAGGCATTTGTCAAGACACACTAATTTTAGAGTTAAATTGAAAAATCTTTTCAAATTGCCATGAAATTTAAAAATCCATAGAAGTAATTCTTCTCTAATCAGACTAAAAGAGCCCAAGATTCCTTTGATTCATAGTATGAGATACCATGATTTAATTAATAATATGGAAAAGTATGTGCCATCCTCATAGAAGTATTTATTAAAATAGTTATGAATAAAAATATATAGAAATATCACACACACAAGCACACAAATATGATACAAACTATAAGGCTTGGCTTTTTTTGCCAGTGACTTTCATTTATGTTATTGGTAAGAGCCTTTTTACAATTCTAGCTGAAGTTTATACAATTTTTCTAATCAGTGTGTCTACAAATTCTAGTGGTTTGTTTCTTTACTTTTCCTCCCTGCTTTCATCATTAGTGGATTATTAAATTTGAGGCTTATCAGATAGAAAGTGGAGCCATATACTATACTGCCCAAACACCACCATTTTGCAATTGAAATGTGCTGCAAAATGCAAATTTGTCAAATTTATATTCTTGTTTAAAAGGTAGAAATAGCTGTAGCCAGGCACAGGCAAGGCAATTTTTAAAACTCAATATTCTTATTAATGATTAAAGCTAAGATCTGCAGAATAATTATTCATAATACACCTTAGATACGCTTATGGTGGAAATATAATTTATCATCCAATTAGGGACTATTTTGAGAATGCAACAGGATATTACACCAAGACAACTGCTGTGAATTATAGCACTGTCGTGGAAAATCCAGTATGTATGGTCAACCTACAAATTTCAGTGTTTTATCCCTATCTGCCTCTAATAGTTTGTCACTAGCACTGGTATTTTTCCAGATTTTTTTTCCCCAAAATTGACATATTGTACTATTTTTATAAAATTAATAGAATTTTCCCTATATATATTTTTAGCTAATATATTTGGAATTGTGTATTTCTTTATTTGATGCTTCTCTACGGACATAACATTTTTAAATGAAAAATACTGTTTCTGGAGATGCTGAGAAAACTGGGGAGCTCAGATACAATTCTATTTAATAAAGGATATCTCCAATTCTATTTTTCCTTATTAAAATACACAAATATTTAAGCCCAAATATTTTCTAATGTAGTTTTTGTTCTGTTTCTCACTACTTCTACAAGTAGTACACAAGACAAAACTCACCAAATGTTTTGTTTCTCTTTTATGTTCTTTCCCAAACTTATATGCTATATATACAATTATAGGCTTTCCCATTTTCATTTTCTTTCAGAAAAAAATATATTAAAAATCCCATTTAAATAAGAATCACATCCAAGAATTTCTTACTCAATCTGAAATATTCCAAACCACAATTTTGGAATTTCAAAGTTAAATCTAATACACAAGCTATTCTCTGATTTAGTTACTAAATTGAGTAAACTATAGTTTGTGTCTCACTTTTGTTAGGATAAATATTACTGTTCATAGGCTTATAAGCTTTATTTTAAATAACTGTGTTTGACAAGCTGAAGTTCTTGAGCTTTATTAATTTGATAAAATATTTGAGGCCTCATTTTAATAACACATAACAAAGTTTAGAAAACTCATTGCCCAAGAAAACAAAAAAATGCATAATAACATTGTAGACAACTGGTTGATTTACCAAGTAATTCTTTCAAAAGTGCTCAAATATTTCTAAAATCATAATGATGCAAGATAGCAAACAGAGAAATTGTAGAGCATTTTTTAAAATGAAGATTAGTAATTTTAAAATGTCAGTTTGGTATTTCAACTGTAGACACTAAAGTAAGTGTGAATTTGTCAAGGACAGCTTATAAGTATATTTTAATTAATGTAATAGTGCCACTCTTTTTACTTGCACTAGTTCACTATTTATATTGCACAACCAATTCTAAGTGCATTTATTCATTACAATTTTGTTAGTGTGGTAGGAGTATTATTTTTATCACAATCATGCACTCCACAAAAATTGATGCACTATTTGAAGCATATGATAACACAGATAATTTAATTGGGGAGTGTTCCTCTACTAGTGGACACATCATCAGGTATCAATGCAGGTTTTGCACATTCAAAACAAATATTGGGAAACAATAATGAGCAAATTATTGAGGAGAGCAATCCTTTGATGTAAATTATAAAGTCATCTCTCTGACTTCACCTCCAAAGGGCAGAATCAGAAATCAAGAGTCTATATGATTGATACATGCATCTCAAGTTCAGCATTGTGAGTCCCCAAATTGCACGTCTAAGAAAATATTGCTGAGAAGCAACTTTTGCTCCTTAATATTTCTCATCACTTAACTCCTGCACCATGACATCAGATATCTTCCTTACATCTTCATATAATCATTTCCTCTCAAGACCGCTAACCTCCTGAAAACAACTGATGCAAAACTGTCTTTAATAAAGTCTTCCTTATAGCTCTCTGATGTGGGCAGAGAAGGATCTTCTATCAGCTTCTGGAACCCTTGGGAGGAAAATATACACTCTCATGGTCTAAGATAAATATGAACATGTGATTGCGTAGGTTCAGAACGGTATTTGCATCTCACTTCTGCGAGTTAGAAGATTTACTGGCCCCCGAAGTTTAGGTAAGGGGTTGAAAACTGGACAGTAGGCTATGGGCTCAGCTTCCTCAGTATCTGTAAGAAAAGAAACTGAACTAGCTAATTGTCACATAACAAGAATATCCATGTAATGACAGTACACAGTCCCCATCCTAGAAAGTAAAAATACAATGGGCCGATGTTTTAGGGGTCTTCTGTTTTGGAAGATTTCTCACTTCAGAAGAGGTTGCAACGATCGCTTAATTTGAGCATAATTTTCTAAGAATTTAGAACTCCTGTAGGATTCTGCAACCACTGATTGTTACTTTTTTCTTATATATTATTATTTTTTTAAAGACATTTTTTATTGAGGAACAGTGTGTTTTTCCAGGACCCATCAGCTCCAAGTCAAGTAGTTGTTTCAATCTAGTTGTGGAGGGCACAGCTCATTGGCCCATGTGGGAATTGAACCGGCAACCCTGGTGTATGAGCACTGTGCTCTAACCAACTGAGTTAACTGGCTGTCCCTCTTACATATTTTTTGCATTCCCTATTTGTCATTTCAATAATAAACCAAGTTTAAAGCAACCTGAATTGAGTTAGAGTGATCACTTGACTAATCCTTCCATACAGGCCAGACTTTTATATGCTTGGCTTCTTTGACTATGACTGGAAAGTTTTGACCTCAGGAGAGATATGCATTACTGAGTTTCTCAGACTTGTCTTTAGTGACGGAATTGTCTCTTTCTGCTACAGGATAACATTATATACGTTGGTTTTACCCTGGTTTTAAATCCCTATTGTTCTATTAACTGTATATCTCCAGGTAATCCTTGATCTTCTTCTTTAAGGATTTTTTTTCTCCTTATCTATAGCTAATCTTTAGCTCTTTTTAAAATAAAATTTTAAATAACATATAGAACACTTGTAAATCATAAGTGTCCAGATTGACGAATTTCACAAAGCACAATAAACATCCAGATTACAAACAGGTACTCTTTCTTCATCTCTCAGATGTTTACTCCAAATGTTATCAATTGCTCTTCTGACATTTAACGTGAAAACGCTGCTTGATTATGAACATTAGGTAAGTAGATTCACATATATTCTTTCCTGGTCTTGGAGATAATGAAGAGGCTTCTACCCAGGAATACAGTTATTGCATTTAGAAAAGGAGAAGCTGTATGTAAATATAAAGCAACTCACAAACATCAGAGTGCTCTAAATAACAGCAATAAGACTGACCTAATTAAATACCATAGGCTCATCCATAAAGTGAGGGGATATTTGGTTCTACAGTTAGCAAAGGAGGTGAACATTTATGCAAGCTAAT